AAAWWAMMAAAWSGRWWACAAAATGTTATCAAATTTCAAACAAATAAATAAAATACGTTTTGYAGGTCACTCAACCAAAGTTATTTTGTTGTGGACAAAGCCAGATMTCGTWGTAAAAATACGAGAAATTTTCGATTTAATTTTGAAATACAGTAGACAAACRCTAGAATGGTATTCAAGATCACGTATGTTGTCAATTTCATCCTGTCAGTGTATACACAAAATATTGCCTAGCAACAATATGACGTATAGCTGTATAAAGTGCTTTTAATATTTTCGCAGTAAATCATTTATTCAAACTGGTTCTTGGAAGAACATTCTCATATGCGAGATGAATATATTTTTTGTTTGAATACGCGATTATATATCGTCGATATGTCATTATTTGATTGATTCGTCTCGTACAAAAGTAAATTCATTGCAGAGCTTCGACCAGTAAGAGAACTCTATAACTGCTGTGARAMGTGTTACAGATCAGTTCTTTGAGAAAAGTTTGTTGGTCATTTMTCKATATAACAGACAGAACTCAGAATATAAAGTTTCCGCCAAGAGTTTCTCAAAACTTTATCGTGGAGTGAGTCCTGTTTCCGCATGAGATAAAGCAAGTTGGCAGCAAGACAACAAATATCGACAYAAAATACACACCAAGTGTACACGTGCGAACGGTTTTCTTTACTTTGTCTTCCTTGGGATTAAATCTGACGTGATTTAACGGAGATGTTGATCTTCATTTATCGATGGATACTCTAATGGAGTCTGTTGTTACAAAAACGCATCATGAAGGACACCTATTTAACTGGTCACAACAAGACTTTCAAGCAATTTGATCTCCGAATGGATCTCTGCTGCTTTTCACATTGAATTTATGTTTCCAAATGAGTCCGGCWTCGTCGCAGACTCGAGGACTGAACAAAAATAAAATTGTRCCGATCGATGACTTTACATCTGAAAGAATTGAAGTCTCTCCGAACAGATTTATCCATGTTCTTCACTACTCTCCAAGTAGTGATTCTTCATCCATTGATCGAGGCTCTAAAGCTAGCACAGGCACAATTGATGACAATGATAATATAGTTGTGATYTTCTTTATTCATGGTGTCGGTGGTTGTGCTAAGCTGTGGMATGAACAATTAAACCATTTTCGCARGGCAGGATATGCAATTGTTGCTTTGGACCTTCTTGGCCATGGTGTGAGCTCGACACCCCGAGACCCAAAACAGTACGAGTTTGGAGAATTTGCTAATGACGTTATGGCTGTCTTTGATCGATTCTCGAGAAGAAGAAACATCTTAGTGGGGCATTCTTATGGGTGAATAAGACTATTTTTTATTCGTTTAAAAGACTTAGAGATTTATTTACAATTTTTTGAATGTTTTATTATTGCGAGGGATTGCGAGGATTAAGGTTGTCAAAATAAACAATAGATAATATGATAATAGCTATCATCGTTATAATGGACTGAGAACAAAAGATTACTGAATGATGTGTGGAGTCAGGGAGGTGTTATTATGTCTTTGGTGTGCATGTAAGTACAGAAACAAGTACAAATAACCTATTATTGCAACAGACCTTAGTATCAATGATGATGATAATGATATTTGGATTGATATCATCATAAAACTAACAGGCTATTTCTTCCTTTTCCAGAGCATCATTCTGCTGTCTATTAGCATCAGTGCGATCACGAYGTGTCTCTAAGATGATACTTATTTCTGGAGGTGCGCCAATCCCACTGCGACCAGAGTCTTGGAGCATCTTCTCTCTCCCTATCCCTCTGCTYACATTAATCAAACCTTTTCTTCTGTGGTCATTTGAAAGGTTGGTTTTGCATTTGTTCAAACACATGGTTGATTTTAGTTGATTCTGTAATAAGGAAATGTCTTGGCTATTACCCACTTTAAAGGGCTACTTGGACGAAAATTTCGAATCATTAGAAAAGACTTGGAAATCAAATAGACCTATCCATATGGGTCTAATAATCATGAAGCAACAGATTTCAAGAAGATATTGATACAAATCCTTGATAATTTGGGCAAAAAAATGTCGGAGTAGATGACGTCATTTACTCCTTTTGTTCTTCCATCTTTTGAATCAAAATTTATCTGATGTGGGATAATTCCAAAACAAATATTTTTCCGCAATTGTTTTTAAAATTTATCTGATGTGGGATAATTCCAAAACAAATATTTTTCCGCAATTGTTTTTAATAGATATCAATGAGTAATATATTTGTATTGCTTGAAGTTTTGAAATAAGGCCATTTTCATGCAAGTAGCACTTTAATGCCAACCTTTTTGGAGGTACTCTAGTGAGTGTTTTGTTTAGTTTTGGAAGTATTTCATTCACTTATGTGCCAGTATTCAGAAAATGATTTAAAAATGTTAGCTGACTTATTCKTCTGTTTGTAGGAGAGCATTTTACAGCAAAAACAGATCCAAAAATAATAAAATCAGAGCATTTAGTGCTCCTTTGCATGTCATAAAAGCTGTTTTACAAGGACAAGTAAGTTTATTGCTCAAATTATTTATCAGTTATCATAGGAATTAACTTGCTGTTGTATGTCCCTCATACACAGCAGAATAATAGATATGTAAGATGATACTGCTAGTCATACAAAGAGAGACATTGTAATGTGAACTCCTTTTTGAGCAGGACAAAAAAKACTTTGCCTAGAGTCAGTCATAGCAAATCAATMARTAAATTCCAATTTTTCATTGAGSTGACTGTAACTTTGTAATTTCTCTTAAGAAATGGGAGGCTGGAGATGAAACGTTTCACAATGAACTAATGGTCCCTGCATTGTTACTTCATGGTGCTCAGGACAAATTTGTAAGTCTTGAGGATGAGCAATGGATGCAAGAGGTTAGTTCTTGTTTGGATTTAGTTATACAGACTTAATTTCAAAAATGGTTGCAAAGAAYGGTGATACTCCTTTCTACAATTCTCAATGCTATTGAAAGTGGTTGAACTTTTACTGTTGTACTAAGGGTTAATAATGCTAATATCCAACAGTTAAATCCTTAACCACCCTTCATACCAATGACCATAGTTAGATATCTTTTCTCACCAAGAACAATGTAGTCAGTAGAATTTAACTCAGGATTGTACTGGGAACTGTAGAAAGTAAGGTGTATTGTTACTCTTCATGGAGCGTGCAATGTTTTTGACATGATATGACTATGAGTAAATTTAAATTAATATTATSATATTATCCTAACTTTCAGGCAATTTACAGTTCTTCATTAGAAGTGATTCAGGAAGCTGGGCACATGGTCATGATGGAGTCTCCTGAAAAGTAYGTCAATATGATGGAGTAATTCATTGGGAACAATACACTCCTAGTCCCCCAGSACACATAATGGTGGATCCAGGGTCTTTGATATGTATTAAGTCACCCCCTAGTGGTGCACACCCCTGAGAAAAATCTTGGACCCCGTTATGGACCCACATTACGACTTGTATATTGTAAAGTATTTTAAACTATAAAGAATATACACCTAAAGAATATTTTCATCATTGTTTTAATATCCTTATGTCTTTTTCAATTGCTCTTCAGGGTGAATTGGTATATTCATAATTTCCTCCAGAGAGACCCAACAACAAGGTCTAATAAGTTAATTTCGCCATCCCGTGAAGTATCAAAAGACTCTATCCATGTTAGAGCTAAAGTTTCTTCAACAACAAAACAACTCTCTCTTGCCGTAGAGTCACTGGCAGAACTACCTGTTGAGAGTAATACTGAAAGAAGCCAAAGTGTTGCTCATTTAMGGCGTTTTTCAGCTCTCTCACTTACAGTACCTGGAACATCAGGTGTCAGATCAAATTCTTTACCAGGGAGCTCAGCAGATATAATAATGTTGAATAAAAAAGATTCAAAAATTAGGTTTGAAGCAGTAGAGATTCATATCAATAATGAGCAGACTGTGGCACAAGATGAGAGTTACTTAAACAAAGGATATAGCTCTGACACTGAACCTAAAGATAGAATTAAAAGTACAAGCAAAGAAAATCATACTCAATCTAATAATGGATCAAATACARGCTCCTTATCATCTCCAAAGGAACGGAAAAAGGGTGTGTTTAGCATCTCAGGAGGATCTCTTCCAAGTGTAGAAACATGACAAAATGTACAAGAACAAGATTGTGCTCAAAATTGCAATTCTGTTACGTCATAATCCTTGGAACCTAGAAAGAAATGAGAAATAATAGCCTGAACCCGGAGGATGATTTCAAAGATTCATAACGTTAAGAGATTATTAAATATATACAATTTACACCCAAAACATCAGATTATATTTTGTATATCATACATAACATTATACCAACATTTTATTTTATTTAAAAATTCTAAAAGCGTGTACAATAATTAATATTGCATTTGTAAATGATGTAAATCCATGCATTGAGTCCACTGGTAAAGTTGACTATTGTACAACTAATTTAATATAAAAATTATTTAAAAATGAATTAAAGCTATGAAACATTTTTGAAGTTATTCAATGTCTTTATTGTGTGGATAAATACATGAAAAGAGCCAAAAGATTAAAAAATTTTATTTCATTTCTATTGCTTCATTTTCTACAAATCTATAAATACAATTGTGCRTGTTTGCCTAGCAATGTCTATGAATTAGTCGCTGGGCTTTGAATTCCAGCTGTCGACTGCATAGAAACGTAAAATGAATGCAATCGTATCAAGTTTTCTGTAAAAAAAAATAGACTATAAAAAATAGACTATTTATATCCTCTAMGTAGATCAATCTTTGTGCAGTTAATACAAGTGACTTTCTACAATTTAAGAAGTCATTTAACATTCATGATTATAATGGAYTGTGTGGCTTCAATGTTCTGTACAAGTGATTACAGTAGAGTACAGCAGTCACAGCACTTTTCATTCCCTCGTATCCTCACGCTATACAGCAGAGTGTAAGCATCTTCTGGAGTAACATTTTGCAAATTGCCATAATGAGTTTCTACAATATATTTGCACTCCATGCATAAATAATGAGTTTCTTGAGATCCTTCAAATAACAATGCTTTGTTGCTCTGTGATGGTTTATTACTTTCTTTGAACTGACATTCCAATGCAGCACCTCGCATGACATCATGTCCACAGCCTGGACATCGAATGGTGGACTGTTGCTCCATTATTCTTCCTAATAAGCAGAAATTGTTTTTTTTGAAATACAGTTGCTGACTCCTCCCCAGTCGTCACCAGCACCTTTTTTCTAGTGTTTCACAAAGCTTTATGGGAAGGCGAAAGAGAAGAGATGGAGATGACATTTCTCTTTTTCACTTCTTCCCTTGATGGCTTTTGTGGGTGAGATACTAGGAGATATCGACTGGAAACAAGTCAGATAACATAGTTTGAAGAAAGCAAGAAAGAAGAAGACTAGTCTTAATTTTGACAGGACTTGCACTCTCATTCAACTTGTAGTCCATT